TATTTATGTTACCGTTTTGATTCCAAAAGTTGAAATAGCTATTTTGTGCAATAAGATAGAAAAGTTACTTTTTTCCATATTCTGAACATGAGTAACTTCTGTTCACCTTCTGCCGTATTTAAAGAAGTTGTAGGAGAAAAGTTTAGGAATTAAGTTGATTACTACAAAAATTTACCATTTTGGACATGTTTAAATTTCTTGTTCTGAAAAGACAACTACATATACAAAGTAAAAGCAAAATATAGGCCCCGCCCACCCGCCCTGTCTCAAGTGTGATGATTTTTTTAATCGTCGAGAGCCAAAAGAGCGGAATTTAATTGCAAAATCCTTATTATTTCTCTACAATAAAATTACCATGTTAGACATGTTTTTGAGTATCATGTTATTCAAAGAATATTATGTATATTAAGGAAAAATTAAAGCCAAAGATTAAGCCCCATCCATACCTACCCTGATGTAAATAGTAATGAAATTTGCATTCGTTAGCCGAGCTAGGGGCGGAGCCTAACTGCAAAGTCCATATTTCCTTACAAAAATTTACCATTTTAAACGTGTTTTGATTTTTGAAATTTTCGATTTTTGATTTCTCAATTTTTCGATGTTTCAGTTTTGGGATTTTTAAATTTTTCCATTCTTCAATTTTTAGATTTTTCAAATTTTCAATTTGTCGATTTCTTTATTTTTCGAATTCTCATTTTTCCAACATTTCAGTTTTACGATTTTTCAAAATTTGGTGTTTCTAAATTTGCGATTTTTCAATTTTTCGATTTTTTGATTTTTCGACTTCTCAGTTTCTCGATTTTTTAGTTTTTTAATTCTTCAATTTTTCGATTTTCCACGTTGTCGATTTTTCAGTTTTTTAAATTTTCGATTTTTCCACATGACCACTTTTAGATTTATTACTCTAATTTTCAATTTTTCGATATTTTGGTTTTGGGATTTTTCAATTTTTCCTTTCTTAAATTTCCAGGATCATTCTAATTTTCGATTTGTCAATTGTTTTCTTTTCCGATATTTCAATTTTACCATTTTTCATTTTTTGGTGTTTCTGAATTTTCAGTTTTTCGATTTCTCGATTAATCAATTTTTCGGTTTTTAAACTTCTCGATTTCTCAATTTTTGGTTTTCCAATTTTCAAATTTATCGATTTTTCAGGTTTTATATTTTTCCATTTTTCAGTTTATCAATTTGTAAATATTTCATTTTGACTTTCCGGTTTTTTACTTCTTCAATTCTTCAATTATTCGATTTTTTACATTTTAGATTTTATCGATTTCTCGATTTTTCAATTCTTAGATTATTCATTCTAATGTTCAATTTTTGGCGTTTCTAAATTTTCAGTTTCTCCATTTCATGATTAATAAATTTTTCAAGTTTTCCATTTCCCGATTTTTCACTTATTCCTCGTTTTTTCAATTTTTCGATATTTCCTTTTTTGGGGGTTTTTCAATTTTTCCTTTCTTCAATTTCCAGAGTTATTCAAATTTTCCGATATTTCAATGTTACCATTTTTCAATTTTTGACGTTTCTGAATTTTCAATTTTTCGATTTCTCGATTAATCAATTTTTCAGTTTTCAAACTTCTCGATTTCTCGATTTTTTGGTTTTCCAATTCTCAAATTTATCGATTTTTCTCAGAGTTTTCATTTTTCACTTTTTTAAATTTGCGAATTTGCAGCTTGATAGTTTTTCGATTTCTCGATTTTTCAATATTTCGATTTTTCGGTTTTTTACTTCTTCAATGTTTCGTTTTTTTGATGTTTCGATGTCTCGATTTTTCAATATTTTGGTATTTTATTTTGGGATATTTTTAATTTTAGATTTTTTTTTTCGATTTCTTGGTTTTTCAATTTTTCAATTTTTGTCGTTTCTAAATTTTCAATTTTTCGATTTTTTGATTATTCGATGTTTCAACTTATTGATTTCTCGATTTTTCAACTTTCCAATTTTTCGATTTTTTAGTTTTTCAAAGCTTCAAGTTTTCGACATTTCAGTTCTTTAAATTTCCGATTTTTCGATTTTTCGACTTGACAATTTTTTGATTTCTCTATTTTTCAATTATTTTATTTCTCATTTAATCGAATTTTAGATTTTCCCATTGCTCGATTTTAAGACTTCTCGATTCTTCAGGTTTTTGATTTTTCGGTTTTTTGAAAAATTTTCGATATCTCGTTTTTTTTTGGCTTTTCCATTTCCCGATTTTTCGACTTTTAAATGTTTCGATTTTCATTTCCAATTTTCTCCGTTCTTTCGACTTCCCGATTTATCGATTTTTCTGTTTTTCACTTGTTCGATTTTTTAAGTTTTTGATTTTTTAAATTTTCGCTTTTTCCATTTTTCGCTTTTTTGACTTGACGATTTTTTTGGCTTATCGATGCTCCAATTTATCAATTTTTCATTTCGATCTTTCGTTTTTTACTTTTTAACTTTTTCAGTTTTTCGATTTTTAAAAGTGGAAAATGAAAACTGTGAGATAAATCGATCAATTTGAGAACTGGAAAACCAAAAAATCGAGAAATCGAGAAGTTTAAAAACTGAAAAAGTGATTAATTGACAAATCGAAAATTTGAAAATTCAGAAACGCCAAAAATTGAAAAATGGTAAAATTGAAATATCCGAAAGTTAAACAATTGGCAAATCGAAAATTTGAATAACTCTGGAAATTGAAGAAAGGAAAAATTGAAAAAACCCAAAAAAAAGAAACCAAATTGAAATGTTGAAAAAGTGAGAAATCGAAAAATAAAGAAATCGACAGCTTGAAAATCTGAAAAATCTAAAAATCGAAGAATGGAAAAATAAAAAATCCGAAAACTAAAACATCGAAAAATTGAGAAATCAAAAAATGGAAGTTTCAAAAATCAAATAATTGAGAAATCGCATAAACGGACAAATTTTGACAAAAGATTTATCATGCTTCTAATAACCTTAAAACCTGTGCAAGATTTTATTTTTTAAAGTTAAACTGCAAAATGCTGCGATACAATTTTTAATTTTTCCCAAAAATCGAGTTGTCAAGTGTAAAAACTCAAGGTGGATTCATGAATTACATATGAAAAATAAAGTTTAAGGAACCTATATTATGTAAAATAACGTCATTATTTGAGGGAGGTATTTACCATGCTTACATTAAAACATTTGCAAGATTAGCTTAAGCTCAGGAAGTAAGGAAAAAAACCCGAAACCGAAATTTTCCACAGTAATTCTCAATGATCTCATCCACATTTTTATGCAAATTTTGACAAAGTTATCAGGATTTTGGACAATGGTTCAATAAAAACAAATTTGTTTGTTTTCACATAGCGGACACCAAATTTTAATCAATTTTTTACCGACTTTTATCTGAAATACGATAGAATGTGGCAATTCTGCACAAGAATAACATTCAAACAATTATTGTTGGAAAATGCTAATATCAATATTTTAAGTTATTAGTGCACAAATAAAACTGAAAAATCGAAAAACTGAGAAGTTGAGAAATCGGTAAATGGAAAAATTGAAAAATCCAAAAATCGATTAATCCTGAAATAGAAAACTTGAAAATTTAGAAATGCCAAAAATTGAAAAATAGAAAAATCGAACAGTTGAAAAATCGAAAAATCGGGAAATAGAAATATAAAATTTAAAAAACCTCGATTCTTCAGGTTTTTGATTTTTCGGTTTTTTGAAAAATTTTCGATATCTCGTTTTTTTTGACTTTTCCATTTCCCGATTTTTCGATTTTCATTTCCAAATTTCTCCGTTCTTTCGACTTCCCGATTTATCGATTTTTCTGTTTTTCAGTTGTTCGATTTTTTAAGTTTTTGATTTTTTAAATTTTCGTTTTTTCCATTTTCCGCTTTTTTGACTTGACGATTTTTTTGGCTTATCGATTCTCCAATTTATCAATTTTACATTGCGATTTTTCGTTTTTTACTTTTTTGGTTTTTTAAATGTTATATTTCTATTCCCGATTTTTCGATTTTTCAACTGTTCGATTTTTCTATTTTTCAATTTTTGGCATTTCTAAATTTTTAAGTTTTCTATTTCTCGATTAATCGATTTTTGGATTTTTCAGTTTTTCCATTTACCGATTTCTCGACTTCTCAGTTTTTCGATTTTTCAGTTTTATTCGTGCACTAATAACTTAAAATATTGATATTAATATTTTCCAACAATAATTGTTTGAATGTTATTCTTGTGCAGAATTGCCACATTCTATCGTATTTCAGATAAAAGTCGGTAAAAAATTGATCAAAATTTGGTGTCCGCTATGTTAAAACAAACAAATTTGTTTTTATTGAACCAGTGCCAAAATCCTGATAACTTTGTCAAGGTTTGCACAAAAATGTGGATGAGATTATTGAGAATTACTGTTGATTAAAACGGTAAATTTGTCGATGACTAAATCACACTGATAATAACAATTCAATGGAATAACAATTTCAACGAGCAAAATTTTTATTTATCACGCCAGGGGTCCAAACATCAAGTATTATGTTTACAATTTTTAGTGAATAAATTATCAAAGTTCCACGAATGAACTTAAAAATTATATAATTTTAATTTTGGATACTTGGCATATTGGTACTCGAATTTATTCAGCAAATCATTCTAAGTCAATAAATATTTCTTACTTATCTTTCTAAATACGTCAAACCTTAAAAATTTTAAATATATTTTGCAATATACCAAATACGTGACAAGCTCTCGACGACAATAAAATTTATTCATGTCTTCAAATAAACTTTATAAATAAATATCTGATTGTATACACTAAACACAGCAATAAACGCCCTAAAACTAAGAAAAGTAGGTCTTCCGTTTCATCTCTCTGGTGCCTGTTGGCGATGCTGTCTCCGAATAATACACATGTTTTAATTTAAAAAATAATGAAACATTTTTATAACTTATTTAAAAATTAGTTATACTAGTTACTTTTTATACGAAAAAGGTACTCAGAAAGCAAAATTAGCAACTGGGGGTTTGATCCTTAATGAAATTATTTTTTTCATAAAACTTACCTGACACCTTCATCGAATTAAACCTTACTGATAGGAAAAGTAGCGCTCTTGAACGTACCTATAAATAAAATTTACAATTAATAACTTCGAAATTATTCCAGTGGACTTGATTTTATTTTAACTCGGTTTAATGTTTCTACGTAAATATTGTGAAAGTTTTCAATTTTTAAATATTTCTGAAAAATCTCTTTCTATTCATGTCGAATTTTAAACAAATCAAATTACCGCCTCCCCACCGAATGAAACCCTTTTATCCCCGTCTCTTCCGTATTTGTACCGGCAAAACTTCCGGAAGTTCGGTCATTATCGGCAACATACAGCGGATCAGAGCCATTACCTCTAAACACAAAAAGATAATTCGATTCTGTTAACAAAGTTGCCGTATCAGGAAAGTGCCAGTTCATTCTCCAGACAGCTCGGGCGCTGTCTTCGGCCCGACTCACACATCTAATTATTACACGGCATCGGCATGCCGGAGCCCCACCAGATATTATTAAAACAATTTCCGCCGCGGAACAAATTTTCATTTAAATCTGCCGCTCCTCTTAAAAACAGTTTTAGAAAATATGTTCGCCAAAGTTCATGTCGTTTTAGTGAAAATTTACAGCCCCTAAAAGCGTAAATCTCGTTTTTACTACCTGCTGTCATAAAATAACAAATTCGTGGCAAATTTTCAGGCGGAGGGAAATACTGCGTTCCGATGGGAGAAAGCGAGGGCTGTGTATGGATTTTTTGGAATTATTTCGTTTGTGGTTTTTACTTCCTGAGCTAAGGAAGTATTGTAATTGAGTCTATCGGGCGACTTGCTACTTTCATGCTTTATCGACGTTTCGTGACCTCTAAACTACGAAAAAAATGGTCTTCGGTTTACGTCTCAAAATTTTGAGTAATAAATGGTCTGAAATATGCAAAGTATTATGACCCTATACTTGTGATTTATTAGTGCACTCATATTTTTTGAATTACTTATAGAGGGTGACCCAAAAAAATTAATGAATGATGAAATTTATTTTACTGTTATTATTAGTATTACACTGCGTCTGTCCGAATTAATATACGTGTCTTTGCAAAAATGACGTAATCACAAAATTTTGTAATGGGAGACCTCACTTGAAACAAATGCGTACATTACGTACATACCTTTATTTTAAATTATATGGGTTATCATAAAAAAATAAAATTCTCAAAATCAATTTTTATAATTTTTTGAAAGTGAGGATTTATTTTTATCCGACCAACTTTTTGATATCACAATTTTTCGTTTTGTCCTTTCCTTTTATGTTCCACTCTAATTTTTTTCAATTTCTTAATTTCTCGACTTAAAATTTTTCAATGTTTTGTTTCTTTAATTTTTCGATTTGAAATATTTCAATTTTTCATTTTTCGATTTTTAATTTTTCAATTTTTCATTTTTTCGTTTCCTCAATTTTTCATGTTCTTGATATTTATTTTTATTTTCCTAATTTTTAATTTTCATTGTCTCCATTTTATATCAGAAACTTTCGTTTATTCATTTCTTTTATTTATCAATGCTTCTTTCGAATTTATAATTTTTCGTTTATTTTTCAATCTTAGCTTTTTCAATTCCTCGGTGTTCCATTTTTTAAATTTTTCAATTTTTGGATTTACTTACAGTTATACAATTTTCCGATTTCTTTAATTTTCAGTATTTCCATTTTACAACACATATTTACTTTTTTCGATTTTGCACTTTTTTGATTTTTAAGTTTCTCATTAATCTTTAAATTTCTGAATTTTGTGTTTCGTCAGTTTTTCAAGTTTTCAAAATTGAAAATTTTACCTTGCAAAAAAGAAAATTTGTAAAATCGGGACATTGATTGCCCGGACCTTTTTAAAAATAACCAAAAAAAATGGAATGAAAAATTGCAAATTGAAAAGTTGAAAAACCAAAAACTGAAAACTCGAGAAATTGCAAATTGAAAAATTACAAAATCTAGAAATTAAAACAACCAAAAGTTGGAAAATCGTAAAATTGAAAAATATGAAATGAAAATTCGAAGAGTTGCATATCGTAAAACTGAAGAAACAAAAAAATGAAAAATTAAAAAATTGAAGAAACGAAAAATTGATAAAATTGAAGTTGAAAAATTATATAATCAGAACATCGAAAATTCGAACAATTGTAAAAATAAAGAAAATGAAAAAGCGAAATGAAACATTGCAAATCGAAGATTTGAAGAAATGAAAAATTAAAAAGTCGAAAATTGCAAAATCTAGAAATTGAAGGAACAAAAATGAGAAATTTAAAAATGACAAATAGAAAAAAATGAAGAAATATAAAAATGAAAAGATATAAATAAAAAAAAAAACAAAAAAATTTGATATGGAAACTTTGAAAACTTGAGTGTTTGAAAAAATAAAAAAAATGTCCAAACGAAACATTGAAAATTAAAATTTGAAGAAATGTAAAATTAAAGAATCGAAAAATTGAAAAATAAAAAATTCAAAACTGAAGAAACAAGAAAATGAAAAATTGTAAAATCACAAATCGAAAAGTGAAAAATTAAAATTTTAAAAACAAAAAAATATACAAAAGATTGAAAACTTGAATTGAAAAAAATAAAAAATAAATGGAAACGAAAAAAATTGCAAATCGAAAAATTGCAAAATCTAAAACTTGAAACATCCAAAAGTTGGAAAAGCAAAAAACTGAAAAAGTTTAAAATGAAAATTCGAAGAGGTGCATTTCGTAAAATTGAAGAAAAGAAATAAAGAAAAAATTGAAGAAACGAAAAGTTGAAAAAATCGTAGTTGAAAAAACAAAAAATTATAAAATCAGAGCATTGAAAAACCGAAAAACTGTAAAAATGAACAAAGAAAAACCGAAACGAAAAATTGCAAGTCTATATTTTGAAGAAATGAAAACTTAAGGAATCGAAAAATTGAAAAATTAAAAATATAAAACTGGAGAAATTTTAATTCGGAAAATTGCAAAATTGAAGAAAAAAAAATGGAAAATTGTAAATTCACAAATCGAGTAAATGAAGAAGCGAAAAAGAGAAAAATTAAAATTTAGGAAACAAAAAATGCAACAACGAAACATTGAAAACTTTAATAGTTGAAAAAATAAAAAAGTGAACAATCGAAACGAAAAATTGCATTAATTCAGAAATTAAAAATGAAAATTCGAAGAGTTGCAAATCGTAAAATCGAAGACATAAAAAAAATATGAAAAATTGAAAAATTAAAAAAGTGGAAGTTGAAAAATAACACATTATAAAATCAGAACACTGAAAATTCGAAAAATTGTAAAATAAAAAAAAAATAAAACACGGAAACGTAAATTTGGGAATCGGAAATTTGAAAAATTAAAAATCGAATTCTCCAGAAATTTCAAATCGAAAAATTGCAAAATCTAGAAATTAAAGAAACGAAAAACTGAAAAAATTAAATTTAAAAAACAAAAAATATAGCATCGAAACACTGGAAAATTGAATAAAAATAAATAAAAAAAAAAAAAATCCAAACGAAAAATTGCAAATCGACAAACTAAAAAATTAAAAATTGAAAACTCGAGAAATTTAATATCGAAAAATTGAAGAAGCGAAAAAAAATTGAAAAATTGAACAGTTGAAGAAACGAAAAATTGAAAAAATTGAAATTGAAAACGAAAAAATTATAAAATCAGGACATTAAAAATTCGAAAAATTGTAAAATAAAAAACCGAAACAAAAATTGCAAACCGAAAATTTGAAGAAATGAAAGATTAAAGGATCGTAAAATTGAGAAATTAAAAATTGAAATTTCGAGAAATTTTAATTCCATAAATTGCTAAACTTAGAAATTGGAAAAACAAACATGAACAATTGAAAACTCACAATTCGAAAAAATGAAAAAAACGAAAAACCGAAAAAATTAAAATTTAAAAGAAAAAAAATATAACATGGAAAAGCGAAAATTTGAAAAATTTAAAAATGAAGATTCCAAGTGTTGCATACCGTAAAATTATTGAACAAACGACAAAAACGGAAAATCGAAAATTTGAAAGTTGAAAAATTGAGAAAACGAAAGATTGAAAAAATTTAAGTTGAAAAATAAAAAACCGAAACGAAAAATTGCAAATCGAAAAATTGAAGAGACGTAAAGTGAAAAAAAATAATAATAAAATTTAAAAAACAGAAGTATAAAATCGAAATTGAATATTTAAAAAAATAAAAAAAAATAAAAATCGAAACGTAAAAGCACAAATCAAAAACCGAGAAATTTAAAAATCTAAAACAGAAAAAACGAAAAATTAAAAAATGTAAAAGTTGAAAAATCCAAAAATTGAAAATCGAAAAAAACAAGAATTGAAAAATTTCGCATTGAAAAAAAGAAAAATGAAAAAATCAGAATATTAAAGAACCGAAAATTGGGAAAAGGAAAGAAAATAAAAAACGAAACGTAAAATTGCAAATCGAAAAATTGAAGACATGAAAAATTAAAAATTAAAAATTGAAAACTCGTGAAATTGCAAATCGAAAAATTGCAAAATCTAAAAACTAAAACATCCAAAAGTTAAAAAATCTAAAAACTGAAGGGTTGCATAGCGTAAAATTGAAGAAACAAAAAACGAAAAATTCAAAAATTGAAGTTGACAAAAAAAACAACATAAAATCAGAAAAATGAAAAATCGAAAACTTGTAAAATTAAGGAAAATAAAAATCGAAATAAAAACTGCAATTCGAAAATTTGAAGAGATAGAAAATTAAAGAATCGAAACATAATGGAAAAAATAAAAAAAAATAAAAAATTGTAATCGAAACATTTAAAAATTTAAAAATTGAAAAATTCAATAATGGAACATTGAAAAACTGAAAAAGTTAAAATTAAAAACTCGAAAAATTGGAAATCGAAAAATTGAAGAAATAAAAACCGGGAATGTTAATTACGCCACTGGTTTTTACTTTATACAAGTTATCAGAATAAAACAAATCACAATCAATTTCTACAATTTTTCAAAGAGGTGGAATTTGTTTGGCTGTGTATTCGAAGGAGTTAGTCTGCGTTGTAGCACCAAGTATAATTAATAATTATTATATTATTTCAAGCATGATT